GATACAGCATTGTAAGAAATTAATTATGAAATGTTTCTTATTAATAATGTTGCTACAAACACTGCTTTGAGTTATAGTGAGGATGATACAGACATAATACAAAAAAATAATAAATACATACATACTAACTATTTTTTATTATCATTAAACTATTATCATAAATGTTCATATGAATCCATAATTTTATACATTACTTTTGACCACATAGTAATATATTTTCGGATCCAAGAATCTTACTCCGGTTATAGATTTAATATAGGTACTCTGTGAATATAAAAATAAAACATTTAATTTTTTTTGCTAATAATGTATTGTATAATGTCTGCTGCATCCAAGATAGTTGCCACTACCGGTTTTACACAATGAATTTCTCATCAAGGTGCTACAATCACTTATCGAAGCCTCATTCCAGTATAGGAATAGTCCCGATATGGTGCAAGTATAATTAATATATGGAAAGTGTTACCTCTCTTCACTTTATATATCAGATTCAAAGGATATTACAGTGTATTTAATTTCAATTAGTACGTAAATTCACTGTATTAAACATTTCTGTCATTGTATATTTAAGCGAACATATATTTTTATGAGTAATTTAAAGGTAGTACAGAAGTTGTTTTTGTCTTATAACCATACACTTGATGTATGATCTCATTATGTTTGCATTACAGCAATTAATACGTGATTTACGCAAGAGTTTTTTTTAAACATTACCTAAACAGTAAAACGTCGGTTGATGTACCAAAAAAGATAAATAAAAACTTTGTATTAATGAGCGCTTACTTAAATTATATTCTGCTAGCATTGTTAATTATTAAATGGTATTTATTTATCATAAAAACTGCTGTTTTTTCGGTTGATTGTAAATAAACTGTGTTTTGTATAAACGATGATCCTATATCCTCGTTATTAATATGTTGACTTATTCGGATGACTCATTTCGTAACAAGCCTATTGATTGAGATTTAAATAAAATACTAAACATTTATTTAATTAATAAATTGTTTAGATAACAAATAGTTATCAATTTGGAATGTATCTTGAAAGCCTATTTGCGGTGTAAGGGATTTGTTCTCTATATGTATAAAGCTAAAGGCTAGTTTTGCGTAATGTGTCGTATGAGCCAATGTAGATTATCCGTCGTCGTTGGTGGCTCTGGCTACCGGTTTTACACCCGAACCATCTTTATCAAAACACGAAGTCCCCGTGTCAAAACACTTTTAAAAATCAACTAAATAAAATCAAACAAATTACCCTAACCCACCTTGCAATATTTATTTATATTGATTTTAGATTCATAAAATTTATTTAGAATTTTAAATGTTGAATTAAATTTTAACTGGATCGGAGCTCTGTATCATTCGGTTCTATTTATGATATGCCATTAAAGTCGTTAGCCTTTTATAAAGGGTGTGTTTTGTCGCAAGCAGTAAAGAATAACCACGTGTCTTTGGAATATGTATAGGTATATAAGTACCAAGCTATTGACATGGCTGTATTATGACCGATGACGTAACAAACCTGAGTAAGAAAATAAAAATCATGTGTCTATTTATTAAAATTAATTTGTATATACCCAAAACTAATTTTCGATTATAAGTGTGAATATTTCGTCAAATACTCATAAGCAATAGAGTCACGTACGCACATACATAGGGTATTAGTTTTGAAAGACAATTATATTTCGATCCGGATGGGCTTAATTGTTTAATTTTAAAACATCCTGTACATTACTAAGCAATGGGAATACCAAAAAACTTACTCAATATAAATTTAATATTATAAAACAGTCGATCTAATTTAAATTATTTATAATACAGCATTCAATCAAAATATACTGCTATTTATTATGCAGATGCGGATTAAAAGTCCGGTAGCTATCAAGTCGCATCGGCCATCAATTCAAACATTTAAATTCGTCCGACGGAAATATCACGCAGAGATATATTATTTACGACCTCAGAAACACTTAGAAATATCAAAATCCATTACCATTCATAAGTCCATAAGGAATACGGAGTCTTTATGAGTCGCGAGCGTTGGTCATAAAACCTGTTTAGATTTTGATAATTTTATTAACGATCGAACGCATGGCACGCCGAGAGGGACCTCATGCTTCATATATTACGGCATTAACACAAATTATACAAGTTTAGAGCCACAACATAGAATGCGTGGGTGTCTTAATGGTCGAATGTGTCGTCTGTAATTATTACGACCCAAGAACTTTAATGTCTTAGAAATATCGTCTTCTTTATTACAATAGAAACGACACAAAACTGGATATGTATCGGACCTATTATTATAACAGAACAAATTTTATTTAACGTCGATAATATATGGCGTCTTCGGAATGTGATTTGAGACATTTTATTATACATTATTGTTTGAAAATAAATGTGGCGAGGATACGCACTAAAGCACCACTGCTCTTTGTAATTATTGCTGTCCATTCACTTTGCATCATTACATCTTCTTTTATGTATATTTGTACCCGTGTACTTGGAACTCTGTCTACCGTGAACGATTCCTCCCCCACATTCATTAAATGCACATTGTCTCCAAATGATTTTAATGTTTAAAACCTTCAAAATTATGTAATGACCGTTTCCCATAGTTACGATTTTTAATTTTACCCTTTACTAAACTAAAAATGTGTATGTTGACATTACTCATGTAACTTTAAAAGTTATATACGACATACATAATTATATATAATTTCTTGCATCATTACACACTTACATAATAATATGTACAATCTGCTAATCACAAGTCGCTTTGATCAATAGAAATGTTGAATCTTCAAATTCTTAACACAAATAAGGGTCTAGCTGTTTATTGCTACATAGCGAATCAATTGAACAAACTGCATTCGGGCACTAATAGGAAGAAAACGATCTGTACGTTGCGTCAGAAGCAGATTAATTAAACTTCTTACGATCAACTGTACGTTATTCCATTTAAGTCTCGACGGAGTAAAGTACTTTAATTAGTAGTTTTCCATTTATCGGACACCTGGTAAAAGCTATTTGACTTATTAGCTGACGTACGTCTATCTTAACATTTTAAACATCCAAATATAAACTTTAAACTTCAGGTAATAGAGTTCGAATTAGTAGGACATTGTTAATTTGCTTGTTCGTTTTTATTATTAAGACTAGCAGTTTACAGGACAATCTTATTGGTTGGCAGAATGTTAATGCAACAATCACGAATCGTATATTCTCAAACACAGGACTTATAAATATACTAAACGTGGAATAAATTTAAATTAGACATTTATTTTTCTTTAAAAGTAAAAAAAAATTAAACACATTAGTCACATCACTAATACTCTTTTAACATTTTATTATATCAATTGTGTCCTCTTCGAATACATTCATTCTTAGAAGATTGATCATCGGTCATTTTTGACGTCCAACTGAAGTACAATGTCATAGTTATTCGTGTTCAAGCTATTATTGTCATACTTTCTTGATGCTTGCCATCTTGTGATCAATTATAAGCCGACATGAAACTATAATGTAGTTTCTTTTTAGAAAATAGAAATTTAGAAAATTGTTGATAATTTGCAAACAATGGCATAAATTGGTAGAATGTTTAGCGTTTTTCTGACACGACATTCTAATGTTGTTAATTAAATTTCGGTGAAATGGCATGTTTTCACTTAATAAGAGTTACATGGGATGTTGACTTTTTTTTGTAGTGACAGACAATTATCGTTTGTAAATGTTAATAATACAAATTTACAATTCACGAAACTAATAACTGTTTATTTAAATCGTAACGGTTATGTTTATAATTTGAATTTATAAGCTATAACTTTAGCTAAATAATATTAAAAATAATTATAACCTATATTTCTATGGATAAGAAAGTTATGAACGCCATAAAACCTCTGTCACGACACCTAGTTAGTAGCCTCCATAATCATTACATAGCTAAATTATAACCAAAGTAAAGTAAGCAAAGCAATAACGGTAAATCTAATTACGGAGTTAGTATCGAATCAAGACGCTCACGACTTTTATGTTCATAAACATTCAAATATACAATTTTTTGTATGTTCATAAAGAAACACATTGAAAATAAAAAAAGAGTTCGAAATATATAGTTAACAAATTATAAAGATTTGTAATTTTTATTACAGTGACAGAAATTGCCAAACTGATATTGTTTGTTTTGGTAGTGTAGGTTTTTTAGCGCTCAACAACTGTAACTTGAATGAGATTTCTTTTTAAATATCACTTTTATGTATCGGTAATTTTTTACTTTAAAATTATTGAAATAAAAAAAATTGTTCTGGCTTTAGAAGCACCCATCAAACATAGCAAAAAATTGAAATCAATAAGAATTTCTTTAACTGTGGACCGGTATAAAATGTGGGACAATTTAATTTCAACATAACGTGACACTGGCCCTTAAATAGACATTGAACAAAAACCGATCTCATTTAGTTTTACCGTCTCCTCAAATCGTGAAAGGTAATTTCATACTGCATTTTCTGTTTGACACGCCTTTAAAAATAGCTAGCCCTTGCCAGTGTCATCACTATTAGTTGTGTTTTAATAATACCACTAATCGTATATGTGAAAGTATTATAAAATATCACAAAGAAAATGTTCAAATCATTCAGCCAAGCCAGGACGCAGATGGTACTTACAATAATCGAAGCATTATGAAATATCGCAATTAGTTCCAAATGCGGTAAAATGTATACACATGTGACACTATCAGTATTGTCTTATTGTCAAACGAAAATATGAACCCACACAATTTGGGGAATTTGTTATAATCCGTGCCGACGCCTTTGTTATGCATTGTTAAGTCACCGGAGTAGGGATCATAGATGAGGGGAAAGAGAAAAGAATTATTATTTAGGATATCCAATTGATTGATAATATTCGCCATTACATAAAAATTTTAGACCACAGTCGTGTGATGAATGTCATAAAATTGCATGATGGTGAACGCATTATACAATTATTCCTGTAAATAAATTAAAGAGCGGCCATATGGCACAGGTGGAGTGGACGCCTCAGGCGAGAAGTGGGCTGGGAGTCGCTTAAGCTGGAGCGTTGGTTCGGAGAGCGAGTTATTAATAATCTGCATTCACAAGTCGCACGAGCGCGCCGAACCACCAACTCGCGACGACATTCCACCGCATTGTCCCAACCCGCTCCACTCGTGACACTTTTGTCTACGAGCATCGCTATATCACGAGCCTCTTCAATGTAGACATTATTTACCTCTAACAATCTTCTTTTCTCTACATCGATTAATTAGTGTAACACGATTGATAAGATAGTGGGGAAAGCGATCGCTTTCAATTTCCTCTCGAGGGGCACTCGGCGTAAAGTACGCGTTAAGTGCGGACAATCGGAGATAAAACGTGCGATCCGAAACTTGCCCTTAATCCGGTGATCGAAGATTGCGAGAAAACGTTCTGTCGTAGGGTGGCACGGTCGAGTCGGTCTCATTGTTTGCCAGCTAGCTTCTAATTTGATTGCCGCAGACGGAAGCGAGTTAACGTGGGCGACCGCCCGATTCTTGGACATCTAATTAGTCCTAGGAATCTTTAATACATTCTTTTATGGTTGAGTCAAAAATTTACCATCAATATCCTAATCTAAATGACAATAGTCTTTCCTTGTTAATTTTAAAACCGGTTGAGGTATTTCATTTTGATAGAAGAAACCTATAGAGTCTTTAATAAAACTTTATTTATATAGTATAGCTTGAAAATCATTCTGAAATATTAGCAATTTACAATAGCAAATTCTCTCAACATCATATATACCCCTTATTAAGAAAAAACCTGATAGGTCGTCGCCACACGCGATGAGAACTCACAGACGTAGCGACGTGGTCTGTCCGATGAGAGGCTTAAATTGATTGTAATGTGAATGGGTTTTCAACAACTGTGATTCTACTTAGAAGTGTCTTCTGGCTTTCATAAGACATTTAAATGGTCATTCCTCTTTGACCTCACTGCATGAGAAATTGTCGCCGATTCGAGTATTTTGCGAATATAATCAACTTTAAAATGTATTTACCGCCTTAAGCGCTTTGCTTATCTATAGGATCGGTCCGTTTAATATGCTTATTAAATTATGTCGATGCAAAAACCAGAGCCTGCGAACTCGTAGCTTTAGGGAGTAATTAATGGAATGAGCCTTATCCCGACATTTAATCACCGCCTTTAATTATCGGTTTATAAGACAAGGTTCACAAATTATTGGCAATAATAATCTGATTTTTATTTCATGTGATCCACTTTTGTTTATGAACATAGTAACCCTTATAAAGTCATTGTACAGAATCCGAAACTAGTACAAAAAAACCATGGAATGGACAGAACAGTAATAGAATCAGTAAACAAAAGAATCTATTGAAAGCAAATCATTGTTACTGCTGAATTATTATTGGATTCAGGGCTAAATCGTATTGATTAGTGAATAAAATTTGTGAACAACAGCATGGGAGAGTCAGGGATCGTCAACAATCGGAACCAACTTTACATATCAATACTAAATATAACATGCATCATTTACTTAATTACATTTCCTGGCACCACTAACTATTTTTCTGATACATAGATTCACAACAACTCCATATTTACTCTTTAACTGTCAATTACGTGTACAAGAAAATAATTGGCATGGAAAACCGAATGAAGTTATCAAGCGCACCGTATATGAAACATACCGTTTTAATTAACATTAACTAACATTTTTACCGTTACAGAGTAAAGCAGAGTTTAAGTTGACTTAGAAAAGAAATTGCTAAATTCTTATATAAACATACAACAGCTTTGACATACAAAATATCGAAATGTCAGTCACAGTTAAGAATTTAATTAAGTATTTTTCCAAACATTAGTCTTAACATTGTTACTAACATGCATACCTATATGTAAAATTCTAACATATAACATAGTCATTGCATTCAGCTATATTTCCTCACACATTAAACACCAATATCTCTTGATCTAATCTAAGCACATTGTTCATCGTAATGCATTTTTCATCTGTGAACTTTTGTCCCCAATATAAATTTACCGCCAACCGGCATAGGAATCTGTTTAAAAGTGTTAAATCGGTTAATATAATGATGATGGATGCCATGCTGCCCAAACAGCCCACAGCGGGGGTGTTTTCCCCACTATACAAATAAATTATTTTTATTATTAACTAGTGTTCTATCTCTTTCACACCCGAGAAACAGCCAATCAAATCCTCCCTCTTGCACCATTTAATCGAAATCATATTTCTGTTTTGTCATTATGGTGTTTAGAGTTCCTCTCCTTTGTTCCGAATTTCGAATCTTTGGTTTCTTGTTACCAATGCAGCTTTCGTTTTTGTTTTCTTTTTTGATAAGTCACACTTGTTCACATTGGTTAAGAAATATGACCCTTTTAAATAAGCTCGCAACTTGAGTCTCATGTTTGATTAGAGCCTTTGGACAATACATGTGATGACGTCGCCATCTGTCGTCAAGTAGTGGATTTAGCACACACGCTTTAATGTTTACTTGCCAAGCTGCTTGCTACCTATGAATGAAACCTCTGTTCGCCATAAAAAAGTAACAACCGTGTCAAAATCGAATCATATATAGTAAAAAACAATATATGTATGAGTTAAAACTTGAGACAGCCGCATATGATTTCTTTCATCATCACAGCTCTACCTGTGGGGTTAACAAAAAACGCGCCAGGTAGCCCATTTGTTTGTTATTAATTCTCGCGTCAAACCTCGTTTTTTCCTGTCCCGACCACTTTAATTCTGTAAGAATATTAATTATAATTATAAGCGGGGCTCGTCGCGTTCGTTATAAGGTGCACGAACCTTAAGTTTTGGTCCTAAATTTAAATCTGATCATTTATCATGCGACATTGTCGCTTTTATCTGTTCCCTTTTAGTTATTTATAATGTTGTACTCTTGAGTGGGTGCCTGATGAATTACGTACAAGTTGAAGCCTCGCTAACAATAGCATTACTCTTTTTGTTATTTAAAAGTTAATATCGCATCATACAACTTTTTTGAGGCTATCGCACTTTTTATCAAAAATTACAATTTATTATTACAAAAGCTTCAATTATATTTAGAAACACAAATGAATGAGGTGTTACGGTAAGTGGGCAAACGCGGCAGACACGTCACCAAGCAAATTATCGGAAAACGCCCGAGCACGCTTTCTGAACACGGTAAAGACTAAAAATAATACTTAGCAGTAACTTAGCGATAGTCCGCATACATTACCTGCTACATAATTATGAAACCTGCTTTGATATGGTACATCCTCAAACGGTTCCACCGATACAATACTTATACATTTGTTTTAAAAATTTCATTCTACAACTTCAATAAGATAAATATTTCATTTATTTCTTCTATTGTACCTAATGTTAATGTTGCTAATATTCTTATAACAAAATTTAAAAATTAAATGTTTTAAACTACAAGGAAGATAATGTTTTAATCTATCAATTGTATCGAGAAGTTTACCTGATTTTAATAGTATTATGGTAATATTACAATATAAAGACTACATATATGTAGGATGTATACCCACAATGTGCCATCATTTATCGCCTATCGATATAATTCATACATCCATTACTTACATGCTGGTGGCGATAGAGCCCACATGTTGACAATTTAAATGTTCCAATGTTATTATATTTTATTTCTATATACATAAAACAATTCATATAAGATTTAGTTCCAGCAAAATCAAAGCCAAGAAGAAAGGAATTGAGGGCTTTGGCGATGGCAACGAAAGAGATCAAATATTTGGGTCTAAGCCTTGACTAGATCTTAAAGGTCTAGAACGACGACCTTACACTATTTCGTTTATCACGACAATTTAATTCGTGATCGTGACAAGTTCAAATTGAAGACCTATCGATATCCTCGACTTTAAAAATTTCGAACAATAAAATTAAAATATCACTTAACTGTATTGAAGGTATAAAAAGTTCTTGCAAATATTGTGCAATGTATTTCATATCATAAATTATTATGAGTAACTTTTATTGTGCATATAACAAAAATATTTTTGATTACAAAAAGATATATATCAAGCATCAGTAGTAGGTACAACTTCTGAAAAATGTTACCTGAGATCTTTGACGTAAATTTATGGAAAGCTAAGTTTTGACTAAATAAATAAAAGATAGCGAATAAAGCACCACGATACATCTCAAATTGAATATTAGATTGAAATTACGTACAGTGGCTGTCTCCCCGCCCTTTGTTACTCAAATGATACATAAAGCGCGCGCGCATACCAACACAGCAATAAGAATTTTAAATTAGCATTCTTTTTGTGCTCCACACCACCCTAACTTACCCGCGCCCTTTCTTAATAATATGGAGAAATTGAGTTGTTACACACCCTTCGGAGGAGGCGCGGGTGCAGTGGCACACCTCGGAGAGAAGCCTTTTTGTAATTGAATTTGGATATTCTTTTCCCGTATATAACGACAGGGAGGTGGGACGGCTAGTTCCGCTCACAATATACACTGGGGTGAAATACCTTGAGACATCGTGACGTTTTCTCGCATCACTACATATATTACGTAGACATCACTTTATTACTGCGATATGAAATTTTATAAAAATCTAAATTTCTATTTTGTGTATACAAGGGGGAAAAATATTTCTATTCGATATATTATATTTAAAAATATTTATCAAATTCAAGGGCCCTTATATTCGTATTGGCCTAAATTGTCTCAATGTTAGTATAACAATGGTTTATCTAAATAGGTTCTATTAATTTGATCAGCCTTCCGAGAAGCAACGTTAGCATGATACTGGTATGTAATTAGGTACAGGAGGCTATTAACATCGGCCGTGTACAAACATGGCGGCTGATTGTGGGTTTCGTTTTAATTGCGCACACGCATCTCGATAGCAAGTTAGAGCACATTGATTACAGGACCAGCAGTATCGTTGAAATCGTGGGAATTTTTATATGCTATCGATTTTTTCGTCAAATACTTCACGATAGCTGAAGATACGTCGAGAGATAAGGATGTTCTTGATGAGCAAGTTATCATGCGTCTTAAAAATTATTTTCAATATTCGATTTCCGATAACGCCGTGGAAGTTATAAAAAATATTTAATTTGCGATATTATGTACCCACTAGTTAATTGTTTTTATTACTTGGAAACCATTATGAATAATTATATGAAATGAAATCTATGAATCATTCTAATTATCATTAATGACACATCGCAGCCAATAAT